GACATGTTCCAGTCATGTTAAAACTCCACATTGGTAAGTCGATGTACGTGACATGTCCAGTTCAAGTAAAACTTCATGTTGGGTAAGTCGATGTACGTGACATGTCCAAGTCATGTAAAACTTTCACATGGGTATACTGATGTGCGTGATATGTCCAGTCACGTAAAAGCTCCATATTTGGTAAGTCGATGTACGTGACATGTCCAGTTATGTAAAACTCCACATTGGTAAGTGGATGTACGTGACATGTCCAGTCATGTAAAACTCCACATTGATAAGTTAATGTGCATGACATATCCAGTCATGTAAAACTCCATATTGGTAAGTCGATGTGCGTGACATGTCCAGTCACGTATACTCCACATTGGTAAGTCCCTATAGTCCAGCTTTAGCATAAATAATGACGTCACAATGGGAATTCGTGCATAAATTAGCATAAATGAGGAGCAATGCCTTAAAGGGGATCATTTGAATGAGGATGACGTCACAATGGGATATTGTGAATACATTTGCATACATAAAATAGATGTGAATACGAGGTCGTGTCGAGGTCATCGTGAATACATTTGCATAAATTACCATCATTTTTTTTAATTATTTTTTAATTATTTTTAATTATTTTTAATTATTTTTAATTATTTTTTAATTGGACAGGCGTGGACGAAAGATTTTTCAGAATGTTTCGTAGAGGGCGCTCACACACACACACACACACACACGTTAATAAATACACGTCATTTTGAAAACTAATGGAGTTTATTGCACAAAAGAAGTAAACAAGAATGAAATATTGACATGGAGTATATATTTATGACATGGTTGAGTATTTTTTTAACGTCACAAAAAAACATACGATGTGAGTAAGGAAAATAGTTGCGTAGTGTATAAATGTTTAGCGTGATTAAATATTTCTTTGTTAACACCTCGAAAAATACGTAGATACATGTAAATGTGCGGCGTGGTTAAATTTATTTTTAATGCCACAAAAAATACGAGTACATAAACGATTCGATTAAAACACAGAAACGAGAAAAGCCAATAATAGTAAACATTGATCAATAAAAAATAATTCATTCTATATATACATATGTTGTTTATTTTTACATTTCTTACTTCCTTTCAATGAGTCAAGCAGTCTG